CTTAAGCATAACTTCATTTTGCTTAAGCTTTCTTCTTTTGTTTTGCTTGGGATGATACACAAGATAAAAATATTTATCATTTTATCACTTCCCTATGACAAAGCTACTACCAGTCTTCAAGCAATCAGATTCTCCAAATCCTGCTCTAGATTGTTGAGCTTGATTTTCATAGTGACAAGCTCAATGCTTCGACATAGATCGTCAAGTTCCTAATGCATGATCTGATTCTCCTGGTTAAGCATAATGATGCACTGGTCTTGGTAGCTAATACATGGATGTGGAAGTCAAGATTGCACTCTTAAGCTCTTGGATTAAGTGGCACTGATGATTGTTCTTGCCCATGACTACATTCACTTTCTTGGTGATTGTTTTGAGATAGTTCAAGACTTGCACATGGTACTTTGTAGTTTTGTTATCTTCTACTAGCCACATCGGCTTGTCAACTAGCTGCTTGGAGAATTTTCCTTGCTTAAATTTATATTATCAAGATTCTACTCCACTTCCACATCCTTTGTTATCTCCTTTTCTTTTCCTTTAAGGTTTGTATTGCCTGGAGAAAATTTTTATAGACCATACTAGCCAAATTTTGAGGAAAGGCCTGCTTCAAACAAAGAAATATCTATCCAATTTATCTCTTGATTTCTTTCTTTGGAACTTCCCTATTAAAGAAAACACTCAAATATATGAGGGTTTCTCTAACATATATATAAATCATTAGTATAATGAGATTTTGATACCTGTCAAATTGGTTTCAATTTGGACTACTCACTCTTGTATATAAGCTAGGCTTTTTGGGCTAATTGATATGCATATAAGTATTTTATTGAATTGATACTATATTAATGAAATTATATAAACTTACTTTATTTTAAAAACTTGGTATCAAATAGAGTAAAATACATACTTTAGAGTAAAAAGTAAATAGCTCTAGATTTTAATAGATATAGCTTTTTTTTCTTAAATTACTTTTACATTATGCTATTGTATATATTAATATAATTATAAGTGAAATTAATTACATTGAGTTTTCGGTTGGCCTAGATATAGTTAGATATAGTTTAAGATTAGTGAACCATCATAAAGTAATAATATTTATATTAATAAAATATAGTAATAATCATGTGATTGCAACAATGAAAGCAAATTATGCAATGCCACACAAACCAATAAGCACTAATTTGTAATAATAATATTGAAGATAAATATACAAAATTTAATGTATGTAGTTGATAATAATGTGTACAAAAATCAAGCTAATAGGTTATATTATTTTTAATATTCTCAAATCTTAAAAAGATTATAATTTTAAACAAGAGTGTAATTAATAATATTAATTATATAATTATTACTAAAATAGATGGAATAGTGATTACATTTACTCAAAAGATGAAGCCTTAAAGATAAACTTGGAGTAAAGGTAATTAAGATTTAATATTTTACTAAGATAGTTTCAAATTAATTAAACTTCATGTGATATTTAATATTGCATATGAAAAAAAGAGTATTTAGATTATTTGATACTATGTTATTAAAATTATATATACTTACTTTTATTATACAAATGGTATGCAGCGGTATAATAATTAAAGTAAAAATTAAATAAATAGTGAATAAAGAAAAAGATTTATTCCATGACATAAAATAAGGAGTTGAATAGCTTCAGCTATTTTTCTTGTATATTTCTTTATGTTTTTTTTAATAATCTTATGGTACTTATTAATACATTCATCAGTAAAATTAATCACATTTAGTTGTGAGTAGGCTGAGAATTCATATTTGTGCAATAACTTATAATTTTAACACATTTTTAAGATTTAATATTATATACATTGATATATGAAAAACATAATATTGTATAAACATGATTTTGAAAGCACTAGCACAAGAATCACACAATAAAACAAGCTATAATTTAAAGAAATATGATTTATCATCCTAAAAGGATGAGAAACTAAATTCCATGACAAAGTTCATATTTTTTAATATAGTTCAAGTTTGTCCTAAATCCATATATTTTTAAAACATTAGATTTTAATGTACTTGAGGAAAAATTATGAGGTAGGATGAATATTCATGTAAGAATAAGTTTTATCCACTTATATGAAGATTTTAAATAAAAGAAAATATTATTTATTAATTTCAAAATTGAAGTAAAATTTTAAATTATTACATTATACTTTTAGTTCTAATGAGTTTTAAAGTATAATAGAAGCATCAATATCAGATATCAGATTCCAAATATCTATAATCTCTTATGGTGGAATCTTAAAAAAATCATTGTTATTAGAGAGTAGATACACAATGTTTTTATATACTAAACACAAAAAACTTTATGAGGATTTAAAATATAGATCATATTTTAAATTTTAAA